TCCCTCTACCTTAACACTACATAGAAAACTAAAGACAAAGCAACACACCATCACACCATCCCTCTACAAGTCCACAAAACATTACATAGAAAACTAAAGACAAAGCAACACATCATCACACCATCCCTCTACAAGTCCACAAAACACTACATAGAACACTAAAGACAAAGCAACACATCATCACACCATCCCTCTACAAGTCAACCAAACACTACATAGACAACTAAAGACAAAGCAACACATCATCACACCATCCCTCTACCTTAACACTACATAGAAAACTAAAGACAAAGCAACACCATCACACCATCCCTCTAAAAGTCAACCAAACACTACATAGAAAACTAAAGACAAAGCAACACATCATCACACCATCCCTCTACCTTAACACTACATAGAAAACTAAAGACAAAGCAACACCATCACACCATCCCTCTAAAAGTCAACCAAACACTACATAGAAAACTAAAGACAAAGCAACAGATCATCTCACTATCCCTCTACAAGTCAACAAAACACTACATAGAAAACTAAAGATAAAGCAACACATCATCACACCATCCCTCTATAAGTCCACAAAACACTACATAGAACACTAAAGACAAAGCAACACATCATCACACCATACCTCTACAAGTCAACCAAACACTACATAGAAAACTAAAGATAAAGCAACACATCATCACATCATCCCTCTACCTTAACACTACATAGAAAACTAAAGTCAAAGCAACACACCATTACACCATCCCTCTACAAGTCAACCAAACACTACATAGAAAACTAAAGACAAAGCAACACATCATCACACCATCCCTCTACCTTAACACTACATAAAAAACTAAATACAAAGCAACACACCATCACACCATCCCTCTACAAGTCAACCAAACACTACATAGAAAACTAAAGACAAAGCAACACATCATCACACCATCCCTCTACAAGTCAACCAAACACTACATAGAAAACTAAAGACAAAGCAACACATCATCACACCATTCCTCTACCTTAACACTACATAGAAAACTAAAGACAAAGCAACACATCATCACACCATCCCTCTACCTTAACACTACATAGAAAACTAAAGACAAAGCAACACATCATCACACCATCCCTCTACCTTAACACTACATAGAAAACTAAAGACAAAGCAACACATCATCACACTATCCCTCTACCTTAACACTACATAGAAAACTAAAGACAAAGCAACACATCATCACACCATCCCTCTACAAGTCAACCAAACACTACATAGAAAACTAAAGACAAAGCAACACATCATCACACCATTCCTCTACAAGTCAACCAAACACTACATAGAAAACTAAAGACAAAGCAACACATCATCACACCATCCCTCTACCTTAACACTACATAGAAAACTAAAGACAAAGCAACACCATCACACCATCCCTCTAAAAGTCAACCAAACACTACATAGAAAACTAAAGACAAAGCAACAGATCATCTCACTATCCCTCTACAAGTCAACAAAACACTACATAGAAAACTAAAGACAAAGCAACACATCATCACACCATCCCTCTACCTTAACACTACATAGAAAACTAAAGACAAAGCAACACCATCACACCATCCCTCTACCTTAACACTTCATAGAAAACTAAAGACAAAGCAACACATCATCACACCATCCCTCTACCTTAACACTACATAGAAAACTAAAGACAAAGCAACACCATCACACCATCCCTCTAAAAGTCAACCAAACACTACATAGAAAACTAAAGACAAAGCAACACATCATCACACCATACCTCTACAAGTCAACCAAACACTACATAGAAAACCAAAGGCAAAGCAACACATCATCACACCATCCCTCTACAAGTCAACCAAACACTTCATAGAAAACTAAAGACAAAGCAACACATCATCACACCATCCCTCTACCTTAACACTACATAGAAAACTAAAGACAAAGCAACACACCATCACACCATCCCTCTACAAGTCCACAAAACATTACATAGAAAACTAAAGACAAAGCAACACATCATCACACCATCCCTCTACAAGTCCACAAAACACTACATAGAACACTAAAGACAAAGCAACACATCATCACACCATCCCTCTACAAGTCAACCAAACACTACATAGACAACTAAAGACAAAGCAACACATCATCACACCATCCCTCTACCTTAACACTACATAGAAAACTAAAGACAAAGCAACACCATCACACCATCCCTCTAAAAGTCAACCAAACACTACATAGAAAACTAAAGACAAAGCAACACATCATCACACCATCCCTCTACCTTAACACTACATAGAAAACTAAAGACAAAGCAACACCATCACACCATCCCTCTAAAAGTCAACCAAACACTACATAGAAAACTAAAGACAAAGCAACAGATCATCTCACTATCCCTCTACAAGTCAACAAAACACTACATAGAAAACTAAAGATAAAGCAACACATCATCACACCATCCCTCTATAAGTCCACAAAACACTACATAGAACACTAAAGACAAAGCAACACATCATCACACCATACCTCTACAAGTCAACCAAACACTACATAGAAAACTAAAGATAAAGCAACACATCATCACATCATCCCTCTACCTTAACACTACATAGAAAACTAAAGTCAAAGCAACACACCATTACACCATCCCTCTACAAGTCAACCAAACACTACATAGAAAACTAAAGACAAAGCAACACATCATCACACTATCCCTCTACCTTAACACTACATAGAAAACTAAAGACAAAGCAACACATCATCACACCATCCCTCTACAAGTCAACCAAACACTACATAGAAAACTAAAGATAAAGCAACACATCATCACACCATCCCTCTACAAGTCAACCAAACACTACATAGAAAACTAAAGACAAAGCAACACATCATCACACCATTCCTCTACAAGTCAACCAAACACTACATAGAAAACTAAAGACAAAGCAACACATCATCACACCATCCCTCTACAAGTCAACCAAACACTACATAGAAAACTAAAGTCAAAGCAACACACCATTACACCATCCCTCTACAAGTCAACCAAACACTACATAGAAAACTAAAGACAAAGCAACACATCATCACACTATCCCTCTACCTTAACACTACATAGAAAACTAAAGACAAAGCAACACATCATCACACCATCCCTCTACAAGTCAACCAAACACTTCATAGAAAACTAAAGACAAAGCAACACATCATCACACCATCCCTCTACAAGTCAACCAAACACTACATAGAAAACTAAAGACAAAGCAACACATCATCACACCATCCCTCTACAAGTCAACCAAACACTACATAGAAAACTAAAGATAAAGCAACACATCATCACACCATCCCTCTACAAGTCAACCAAACACTACATAGAAAACTAAAGACAAAGCAACAGATCATCTCACTATCCCTCTACAAGTCCACAAAACACTACATAGAAAACTAAAGATAAAGCAACACATCATCACACCATTCCTCTACAAGTCAACCAAACACTACATAGAAAACTAAAGACAAAGCAACACATCATCACACCATTCCTCTACAAGTCAACCAAACACTACATAGAAAACTAAAGACAAAGCAACACATCATCACACCATTCCTCTACAAGTCCACAAAACACTACATAGAAAACTAAAGACAAAGCAACACATCATCACACCATTCCTCTACAAGTCAACCAAACACTACATAGAAAACTAAAGACAAAGCAACACATCATCACACCATCCCTCTACAAGTCAACCAAACACTACATAGAAAACTAAAGTCAAAGCAACACACCATTACACCATCCCTCTACAAGTCAACCAAACACTACATAGAAAACTAAAGACAAAGCAACACATCATCACACTATCCCTCTACCTTAACACTACATAGAAAACTAAAGACAAAGCAACACATCATCACACCATCCCTCTACAAGTCAACCAAACACTACATAGAAAACTAAAGACAAAGCAACACATCATCACACCATTCCTCTACAAGTCAACCAAACACTTCATAGAAAACTAAAGATAAAGCAACACATCATCACACCATCCCTATACCTTTTTCAATAGCTTCTGAATTAACCACTGATATAGCTTACTGAAAAGGCAGCTGTGATTTTCTCAAACAGTTAAAATAATCCATCCAAACCATAAATTTAATGGTTATATATTGCATAAAATGAACGAATTCATTATTCTCTGAGGAGAGTGCTAAGAGTGAGAAAGAAAAATAAGTTTGGCTTTAGGATGCAATATTTATAGCTAATCGACACAATTATGTTACATTAATGTTTTGTCTTTGATCATTCAATCATAATTTTACTATTAAAACTATAACAATAACTAGGTGTTATAGTAAAATTATGATTTGCTAAAATCAAAAGTTTGATATAAAACATACATAATAGATGTAAGAATAAAGACCTTTGCTATGGATTTTGTTCTGGAAAAGGAAGAATAAAAATGTTGAGCATCCGTAAGGTATAAACCAGCGCATAATGTTGACACCAGAAAAAGTGACATGAATATAGACATATATCCATCTGGACTTTCTAATAGAAACGAAAGACCCACTGGGGTAGGTGCCGCTTTGCCCGATTGCTTTATTACATTAGTATTCGGTCGGATGGACCCATGATTGAATTCCATTTTCTATATGTGCACGAACTTTTCACGCGAAAAAAACCTTGCAACAACTTTTGCTTCTGAACCTACTCGGCTTTCTTATCCTCTTTTAAGTAGTCCTTGTCATGGAAAGAACTCACAGAATTGTTTAATGTGTTTTCGTCCTGAATATCTACTAAACATTTCACCCTGGATGTAGAAAGAAATAACTGTAAATTACTTCTTGCAGTTCTTCGGTGATCATGAGATGCAAATCTCTATCATTACTTCGTCAACCATTATAACTTCGGATCATCCGAATAAACAATACGTCAGTTCTTTGATTATTTCGTTGTAGTTGATTTTTTCTCAAGTTCGACTAGGCCATAGCACAAGGGATATTATTTTGAGGCAGAGTGGTCTGCGGAATGTTCGACAAGCAGAGTTTGGGTTTTAGGGGCTAATTCCCCGTTAGTTGACAGATTTAATATATATATATATATAAAACAAAAGAACTCGATTTTTTATAAGCTATGGAGTCTTGGTATAACAAGAAATACACGTTCACTTAATTTTGAATATTTTCCCCCAACAACTTCGATATATCTAGTCATATGCATTCTACATATGTGTTTTGTTTTTGTACACTTGAGAGCTTAATTCGTGGATGTAAAATTCTATACATCAACAGATAAATAAAAAAAAATTTGACCCTTAGTTTTTATAACGTAAAATGTCACGTTCACAAGTACAAACCAAAAGTACGATCACATTTACAATTTTGATAATTAAATGCAGAAAATTGCAGAACTCAAACCAAAAATGTGCCAGGCGCTCAGTCTTCGCTGTTTAATTAAACAGCGGTTCCCAGTCATGATACACATTTCCGCACACAAATTGCGAAACTAAAATTTAGTTTTTGTTATCTTATTTTGACAAACTTCCAACCTGGCTCGTTCCGCAACCTACATCGAAACTCGTGTAGGCCCAAACTTGAACGAAAAATCATACCAAATAATTTTGAAATGCAGATAATAATATATTTTTGTTTAAGAAGCTAAAATACTTGCACCAATGCATCCATATACAAGAATGGGCAATTGTGGGCCACTAAATGTTTTACCAATGAAATGAGATCTTCATGACTTTCTTGTACTGGAAATACAGATGCCTCCTTATGAAAATAAATATCAATGCCTTACCTTCAGTCAATTTTATTGTATAGTCTTAAATGATAGATTTGGAATATACTTACTCCTGACATTTCCAATTTCCTGTCATATCATATATTTTTTGTCAGTCGGATCATGGAAGTATTATATTGACACAATACTTCCATGGTCGGATCAACTTTAAGATAACGATAGACGGCAGTATATACACCAAATAGTATGTGGACGACTTTGGTGTATATGGACCAGAAATTAAAACAATCTGTATCTTTGATATTGCAACAAATAGAGCATTTTTAATATAAAACATAAACATGAACTATTTCATTTCATTCAAAATGGCAACTGAAGTTTCTTATAATGTGTTCATTGAAATCTGACTTGTTTTACGGTAACATCCCCAGTTATATGTAGCATATTGAATCTGGCAAGTGGCATTAGTCTATGTCGGAACTCTAGAAAATGTTGATTGTTCACTGCTACCTGTTTAAAAAAACATAAATAAATAAAGGTTTATATTTGCCATAAACGCTAGTCAAGAATGCTGAAACCAAACATTACAGGAACAATATATAATGTTCGGAATATATTTTATGGTGACGGTTCTGACTAGTGGAATGTATTATTCAGACAAAGCTGGAGGAAGCTATAACCAACATTGATCCGTACGGTACCAATCATAGTCATAACGTGCCATCATTTTTCAAGCATACCGACTCCTACTTTTAATTCTGTCTGCATACTTAAACAAACGAAAAAAAAAAAATGCAAGCTAAAAACAAACAAAAAATGCAAAGAAATGTCACACAGTAAGCTCACGCAGGCTCATACTGGTTAACATTTGCATTCGCAAACTTCGCTCAAATACCATATAATCTTTAAAAAGGTTGTAGCGGACTTGCCACAAGTGTGTTCTGTATGTCATTTGTGGTCGGAGCAACTAAATGGTGCACTACAACTGCGTGCAGCAAGTTCCTAATTAATTGCATCTCGCAGCGAGTTTGCAGAACAATTTTAACTGCCCCAACTTATTATATCAAACAGTAGATCATTTCAAGTAAGATGTAAGGTGGCATATTATTTTCGACAGAAATAAACCACATCTACTCAAAACGTTCGCCAGAAATATTTGGTTTAAAAGTCAATACGTTTTTTCCCTTCATCTTCTTAAAACATATTGGAATATGCTGTCTGTCTAAATTTACTTTTTACATTCCAGTCAATTGTGCCTGTGTGTTTAGAATACCATATTTTATTCTCGTTAATACAAAAAAATCAATCAAAGTACAAACATGCTCTGCACAGCTACTTCTACTTATGGTATAAAGCAATTCTGTCTGTTGATTTCACGTGAACAACTAATGTGAAGAATAGGTCACAAACAATTACAACTCTCTCCTGGTATCAGCTAGAGGGAGACATGCATGTTTAATTTAACACGTGTAAATAGGTGTAAACTTCATGATTAACTATGTACCAGTATGATTCCCATTTACTATACTCATTTTCCTTTTTTTAAATTGTGTGCTCATACAATTGTTATAGACAAATGCAAATATAATTGTATTATAAAAACCAAAGTTACTAACTTCCATTCATATACAAATTAAATGACTAATCACTATTGAAATAATCATTTTTTAAAGACATCACGTGAAAAAACCCAACTTGTTTTTATATAACTAACCAGTTTTGATATTTATCATTATTAACTTAGGTATAGCGATAAAAATCTGCTTAATTCTCATCTCATCTTACCTTGAAGCCTGTACTTTCAGAAAGGATAATAATCTCAAATGGAACATTTCTTACAAATGGGAAGTATGGAATAGTATGTTCTTCTTGTCCCCAAGTACCACGCGATCTGTGATTACGAATCACCATTTCTACACATGAACCAAAATTAAACCTGACATCGAACACCATCCCAACATCTGCATTATGTAAAGATCCTTCTTGTAGATAAAAAGTAAATCTGAAAAGAAATGCTATAGTTGGTATATACATTTATTTACAGACAGTTTCAGGTGTTATGCCACATATTCGTGCGACGTCGTGTATAATAATATGAAACAGTGTTTCGGATGAGCTCCCGTAGATTGCTGGTTTTTAACTGCAAGTGACTTTTGCCTGTTTGTTTTATTTGTTATCATACTTTTCCGCAATCACATATAGAAATGAGAAGATGTGGTATGAGTGCCAATGAGACAACACTCCATCCAAGTCACAATGTGTATAAAGTTAACAATTATAGGTCAAAGTACGGCCTTCAACGCGGATCCTTGGCTCACACCGAACAGCAAGCTATAAAGGGCCCCAAAATGACTAGTGTAAAACAATTCAAACAGGAAAACCAACGGTCTAATCTATATAAAAAACGAGAAACGAGAAACACTTATGAACCACATCAACAAACGACAACCACTGAACAACAAGTTCCTGACTTAGGAAAGGTGCAAACAAATGCAGCGGGTTTAAACGTTTTAACAGGCGCCAACCTTCACCCTAACCTGAAACAATAGTGTAACATTACAACATAGAAAGACACACTATAAAATATCAATTGAAATGGCTTAACTCGATCAAAAAGACATATTAACAAAAACAAGTAAACATACACTGAACGAATAAATTTGATCTATGACACAATATAAATACAATATCAATAAAAAGGTGGTATACACATTTGCGGGAAATCGTGAAAGGATATATATTTTATTTAATCATTGAAATTTCAATATATATCCTGTCTATTTGTATTTAATCGTCAACGTTGGCAACAACAATTTTAAGTTTACTAGTAATGCGCAGAAATATTCTTGCCCTATACGATATACGTCGACATGCACAAAAGCCGGACACGACAAATGTATATGCCAATTTTCATAGATCTGTGACACAGATATTTCATAACAGTCAACAAAATCATGATGGCATCCATGAAACTCTTGAAGACATGACTTGAATTTTACTATCAAGAATCATTTGACTAATAACTATCATGTCATTGTGAAGATTGTTGGCAGAATTTGGAAAAGTTTTTTTGTCTTATTAGCTCGTCTGGCCCAAAGGGATAGTGTGAGCTATATACAAATAACTTTGCGTCCATCGTCCAACCTACGTCATCTGTCGTTCGTTTACGTTTACAAAAATAAATTCCTGACTTAACATAAAACAAATTTTAAATTCTAGTAACCGTCTAAAATCCTCAAAGCGTTAAAGATATAGAAATGTATTATTATGACCCGATATCTACCTTATATAAAAATAAGAAGATATGGTATGATTGCCAATGAGACAACCCTCCACCAGAGACTAAATGACATAAAAGTTAGCATCCGCAGCTCACTGTATGGCCTTTAACAATTAGCAACAAGCGACATGATAAATGTAAAACAATTCAAACGATAGAACTAACGACCTGATTTAAGTAAAAAAAAAACGAATCTGACAAACATGATATATAGCAACAACGATAACCACGGAATTACAGGCTCCTGGTTTGGGACAGACACATACAGAATGCGGCGAGGTTAAACGTGTTTGTCGTCAAAATCGAGAAAAGCCCATACCGCATATAGCCAGCTATAAAAGCCATGAAATGACAAATGTATTTTAACAATTCACACATGAAAAATAACTGTCTTATGTATGTACAAAACAATAAACGAGAAAAAAATATGATATACAGAAACAAACGACAACCACTGAATAACAGGCTCCTGACTTGGGACAGAAACATATATACTGAATGATCTGAATATGGCGGGGTTAAACATGTTTGCATGCGCGCCAACCCCCTCCCTCCAACATGAGAAAGTGGTTTAACAGCACAAAATAAGAAAAACTATAAAAATCAGTTGAAAAGAGCTCAACTCGTCCGATCGATACAAAGAACATAAACATCCTAACAAAAATACAAAAGACACAAAGTATAGATCTGAGAGTATAATATATTTGCAGTTACTGAAAGCTACTAGTATTTCAAAACCAATAACAACTGATAAAAAAAACTATCATATAATATAATGTCTATTTCAACCAAAACTGCAAGACGACTACTTATAGAATTTATAGTATTAAAATGGCAATTTAAAAAACGGTCAGATAAACAAGAACTACAAATAAGTAAAATATGGCAGAAATCATCAGTCGACTCTTTATAGGAGTCTTTGCCCTTAAATAACGATTTTACCCCTTTTCGCCGTCTTTGGTTATAAACTTAAACAAATATTAAAAAAAAGAAAACTCCTGGGAAGCAAAACTGATCAGCTGGGCAAGAAATAGATCAAAATGACCGAAATCATCAATAGACTCCTTTAATTTGGCGAAATTGTAGTTAATAAAGAAACAGATGAAAGCAACAATGGTCAGCAAGATAAGATCTACAACGAATTAGCTGACCCCGTAATATTTCTATATAATTAAAACGGAAATGTTTACATCAATAACATTTTTGTATCAAAATTCTGTGGACGGATTTTCGGGAAGACGTAATTTTCTGTCCACTCTATACTATAGACAGAGATATGAGCTTTTTGGTAGTATAAGGAACTTCTCAAATATTAATCTTGATGTCCTGCTCTATGACAACCCAGATCTCAATATAGATGAAAATATTGAAATACAATGTATTTACAAATGTACAACAATATATTGAAAACACAAGACAGATTTCTATGATGTTGAAATGACTTGTCTAATTTTGAGATTGCACCCTATTATATACCACCAATGGTCCTCATTGCTCCAAATTATGTTGACTTTCAATTACTTTCCACTTTTCTTATTTTGAACTGATATATGAATTGTATGACTATGATTAGTTCCTTATTTAAACGCACTCATTATAAAAAAAACTATAAAAAAAAAACATAATAAAATATATATCCAAGTAAATGGCATGAATGTAGGTGGTATACATCAAATAGCTGTACTGAAATATATTGATATTGTGTGAACATGTATATATATAAGTTATAAAGATAGATCATTCTTGTCACAGTGATTCTGATAATATCATGAAAAAATCACTATGCATTCCTCTTTAATAGAGTGAAAACTTTTATTTATAGAAACCTACATATGATTTGTCTGAGAGCATTCTATTCACTAGCGTACCAACTGATGGTCCACTAAACTATACTTACTGTTTTTGAAAGTATAATCTAGGCAATGTTAGGTGAGGGAAGGTTCCATCCCCTGACTCACTGTGAGGCTATATGATGGATGAATTAACGTTATATGTAAAAGCCAATTATTATTCTATCCATCTTGTATGGGAAAGGATTTATAAAGGCTCACTTTATCCAATCCTTTTGTTTGCATATAATTGATTTAAACAACAAAATCTTTAAATTGAAAAAGACGTAATTTAAGTGAAAAAAATGCACATATATATGATATATTTGATCTCTTTTTTTTATCATTTCTATACCTGTTTGTACCTGCTGGAACTGCAGATATGAAAATCATTTTACCATGATATAATCCACCAGGTATTCCTGTTGTCAATGGTACAGCCTGCAAATAAAACTCTTACTTAGTTAAACTCCTGCTCAATTCTGTTTTAATTATAGTTCCTGGAGTTGAATACAAATAAAAGATGTTCTTAATCAATGTTAAACTTCAGTTTCATTTTACTTGAAAACTATATAATTATGTCATGTAAATGTGATAATCCACTAAAATCATGTTATTTCACCATGAATTTAGCCGAAACAAATTACTAAGAAAAAAAATGTTTTATGTATATGGCAATCTTTATGATCAGCAAATGAGTAAAAGTAACCTAAAATTGTCAGTCGACTCATTTAAAGCGTAATTGCCTTTAAATGATGATTTGTGTCTAACTTCATCATTTTTACATAATTTGTTGAAAACTATAATAGATACACTGAAATTTTGAATAGCAAAAATTATCAACAAAACAAGATCGACAAATAAGTCAATATAAACGATTATTAACAAACTATTTTCAGGAATTGCTGCCACTAGATAACAATTCTAATCTATTTTTTTCATGTTTGGATATTATTTCTTAGACTGCAATTGATATACAGAAATTTGATCAGGCAAAAATTATCAACAAGACAAGAATTTGGCCCACAAAATTTCAATTCAACACAAGTATTGTTGTTGCATTGTATCAATTTAAAGCAAAATTGTCAAGTGAGCGATACAGGCTCCTTATAGAGCCTCTCGTTTTTTTTTTTCAATTTCAATGTAACATGGAAATATAAACCTTCCATAACACCACTTAGCAAGCGATCAATTAGGACCTGTTTTGCAAATTGTAAGGGTGTTCGGTAATTGCTATTATCCTATTAGAAAATACAGAATTGTGGAAGATCAGTTCTGGATTGACTGCATGCAATGATGGGAAATGTCTAAAAACTACTAGAATTCATGAGAATTTATCGCTTGATAAGAATAACAAACCTAAAACAAGCATTAACGACATTTCATATCAAAATGACCGTTTCTTTCTGGAATATTTTTTTTTACTGATGACATCATACGACAACTTCAACGTAAACGTAGTGAACCGATTTCAGCACAAAAAAGACACCTGCGTCTTTGGAAAAACTTCCATCAGGTATGCTCGAAACTGAAAACAGTAATTAAACTTACTGGATTAAATATTGGCTTTGTTGGCTGTGTAGCATGGTGATTCATTACTACTGGGTGTGCACTACAACCAGGCTAAAATGAAAATCTAGTACGTCATGTATATTAACATTAAGTAGCATCAAAACGAAAAAAAGACATAAACAGAACAGTAAAAATCATCTCAAATCTATCTAGCACGAGGGGGGAGTTCTGACATTAATTTTAGTATAATTACACTATTTACTTTATCTGTTCATTTCAAAAAGAAGAGTTCAAAGACATGTGAAAAGGACTTGCTGAAAAAGACTCATTACAAGCTACCTTAAGACAAATGTTTAACATAAACTAAAACTTGGATAATTATGGAAATTGTATTAATAAAGTTGTAGATTCTGCCACTATCTGTAAAGGTGATAGATTTACACCTTGCCTCAAAAATGCCATTAATCATGATATTGCTAGTGGGAACAATGAATTAACTTACTGGATTTAATATTGGCTTTGTTGGATGTGCACCATGGTTGTTTGTTACTGCTGGCTGTACGCTACAACTAGGCTGAAATCAAAGTTTATAAATGTTCACCTTCTGTAAATGTTATGGATAGGCCTATCATTAAACTCTCATTTGTCACATTTTTGTTTTAAGTCATAAAACAACCGGGGATAAATGTATATAATCATTGGTATCAAGTCTATTAAGGCGACAGTAGTTTACCGATGTTCAAATCTCGTAAATCGATCCGGTAGAGACAAATCAAGAAAACAACACAGACACTGAGGGAATCGCATGAACTCCAAAAGGATCGAGTCCGGGTGCGTCGCCGCGGCGACAGGGTAAGCGTCTCCTGATATGCATGCATTACCTATAAGAGTTGAAGCTAAAGAAACTGAAAGAAAATTTGATATACATTAAGGAGATATTAAACATCAACTTTGTTTTAGTTCATTTCTATTCATTTTTGCAGTTATGTTGAATATGGGCTACCTTCACAGGCACTCTATTGGTGCCAGAGTATATAAGATATATTGACGATTACTTTTTTCAGATATATGAATGTATTGATGATATCATAAATAGTCGCATTGAGCGTAAAAATACATAGATTTGATCGATGTTAGAGTGGTTTTTTGAACTATCTAAGCGTATCGAAAACCAGCTATAATTATTTCAATATTTTGATTGTTTATGTGAGCGTTCTCTTATTACTATTTACTTTATTCTTTCATGCGCTTGATATTTATATCTCGCAATTATGTAGATATAAGAAGATGTGGTATGAGTCAGTGCCAATGAGACAACTCTCCATCCAAGTCACAATTTGTAAAAGTAAACCATTATAGGTCAAAGTACGGCCTTCAACACGGAGCCTTGGCTCACACCGATCAGCAAGCTATAAAGGCCCAAAAAATGACTAGTGTAAAACCATTTAAACAGGAAAACCAACGGTCTACATTTACCACAAAGTCTTTTTTAGATCTTTTGGTAAAAATGGTTGGCCAAAATTTTACACCAAGGTCTAGATGATATAATGGAACAAACTTTTAGACATGTTTTGTGTAGTAGACTAAAGTAAAAGATGGGAATATCGTACATTATAAGATCAATGGTCAATATAAACGTAAAAAAGCATAACAGACAAAATGAATCAATAAGGATTTGAATAAAAACATACTGCAAAAAAGAACGTAAAACATAGAATAAATAATTCCAACATCAAATATATAACAAAAAATAACTTATTGTTAACAACTTACAACGAAATAGCACTATTTAAACTTCCTTTATTTAAAACTGAATTTCATTAACGTATTATTATAGTTCATTGAACGCGTCCACAAAAAAATATCACATTGACATATCTTTTGTAACTATTTGTATTTAAACTTAAAGCATTGTATAATTTATATCTAACTTCTCTAAGATTTGCAATGCGACACTCTTACCAAATGTTATGATAGACAATTACTTTACAGTAAAAATGCACGAAGTATTAAATATTGAAGATCTGAACAGAAATTTATATGGAAATATGATCAAAATGGTCTAATATTGCCCGATATCCCTTTCGTCATAACTAAGTTTGGGAACAATGAAGATGTTTTCATATTCATATATATCTATTGTATTATTTTTTTCACTCTACACAAAAATTGCAGGATTTTATTCTCTTCAACAATTGTATAGAACTTTAAATATTATTTTCCAATAAGTATGAACTATTCTGACTACAACGCTAGCTTCATATATATGGAGGAAATAAAGATAACCAATCAATCAATCAACCATCCTCATTCTTGCAGCAAAAACATCAAACATTCCGTTGGTTGCTGTCTGCCTCATTTGGTTATTTGTTTGTTGTATTAGCATATAAACCAAGCCATTGGTTTCTTTTTTGAAATAATGCACATTTTGTCATTCCAGGACTTTTCATAGCCTACAATACGATTTGGGTTTTTTTCTCATTGTTGAAGGCCTTACCGTGCCTGATAGTTGTTTACATCCCTGTCTGTTAGTCCATGGTGGATCGTTGTTTCATTTGCAATTTTACCAAACCTCCTTATTTTTATATATGTAAGAGCTAACAATACATGTCACCCAGCTACATGTAAATACAATATTTGGAATACAAGATCTACCGATATATGCAATAATTAGAACATGCTTTACCTCTTATTAACAGTAAAATGATGTTGATTTACTGGAAAATTTTCAGTTATCTAAACAAAGTACTGCACATACCGTACGTATTTCTAGAAATTTGATGGACGTTATCTTCACAATTCCTTCAACTGAATAGGTATTAACGCCTGCCAGGGGATGTCTGTGTTTAAATACGCAGAAGTTTCGTTTGTTAACTGAAATCTTAAGAAATTAATAATTATACATTCCTAGTTTATAATTATTGTTTTTTATCAATGATACAAAAAAAAAAATCGCCTCATGAGTAGTCAAGGTCGTTAAAGACCCGCTAGTAGTAGCAATGATACAAATAGGACTAGACACAAGTTTTACTAACTTACGAAGTCTTCTCCTTATACACAATGATAACAGTAATATTATATGACAGTTGTTTTCCATTCGTTTGATGTGTTTGAGATTTTGACTTTTCCTTGGAGTTCTGTATTTGGAATTTTATACTTTTTACATTAAATTAAAATTGATATCTTTTGGTGTTTTTCTTTTTTTTTATATTCTAAGTAATCAAAGGTAAAGGTTTATACGCACGTAAAACTATATTTATCTCTCCACATTAATGGACCCATATCAGTTTATATGCCGAAAATGTACTTTTTTAGGGTCAAATAGGAGCATGTATGGCATTATTATACAATACAAATGTATATGCAGCACAAAATGCAACAACCGTAGCATGGATTATATACGCTGCTAGAATTAGAACAACACTAGCAGGATATTCCCATGGATTATATAAGCTGCTAGATTTAGAACAACACTAGCAGGATATTCCCATGGATTATATACGCTGCTAGAATCAGAACAACACTAGCAGGATATTCCCATGGATTATATAAGCTGCTACAATTAGAACAACACTAGCAGGATATTCCCATGGATTATATAAGCTGCTACAATTAGAACAACACTAGCAGGATATTCCCATGGATGATATACGCTGCTAGATTTAGAACAACACTAGCAGGATATTCCCATGGATTATATACGCTGCTAGAATCAGAACAACACTAGCAGGATATTCCCATGGATTATATAAGCTGCTACAATTAGAACAACACTAGCAGGATATTCCCATGGATTATATACGCTGCTAGATTTAGAACAACACTAGCAGGATATTCCCATGGATTATATACGCTGCTAGAATCAGAACAACACTAGCATGATATTCCCATGGATTATATAAGCTGCTACAATTAGAACAACACTAGCAGGATATTCCCATGGATTATACACGCTGCTAGAATTAGAACAACACTAGCAGGGTATATCCATGGATTATATACGCTGCTAGAATCAGAACAACACTAGCAGGATATTCCCATGTATTATATACGCTAGCTGCTAGAATTAGAAAGGAATTGATTATTTTGTTCAATTTGAAAAGATATTTGAATTGACCGATCCGAGAATCAAGATTTACGAAATAAAACGACGAAATATGATTAAAAACCCGTAAGACAAAAATATCGAAAGCTTTGGTCGAATTTGGGACTGCAATTTCAGTGGCCGATGAGGAAAATGTAAAGACTCCTTATACTCGTTTTTATTGAACCTTCCCTTTTAACTATCTCTAGTTTGCTTAACAAACACAAATAACTGGCTGATTCCATCACTGATATCAAGAATGTATTTTCAATGCATAACTGATTTTGATAATGCAATGTAACGAATATCCTGCAGAATGTGCAGCTCTTTTTATTTTTGTTGTACATGTATTTGTATTTAGTGTTGGTAAATCTCCTATTCTACACATAGTTGACCCTTCTTGTAGTTCCATTTTATATTTGCTTTGTGGATAAATTATACAGAATGTAAGGCTATATATAGATCATTATTGCTATTATAAACGCAACGCATTTTTTTTTTTGAATTTTATATACTTACTTTATAACAATATAAATCAGTCACAATAACGATTTCAAAGGATTCCTCTTTTCTAAACGGCATTCCATTATTTGTCTCCTCTTCAGCCCAGGCATTGTTTTTCAACGAATTTCTAACTACACAGTGTTGAGTAAACCTTGGATTAAAGTGCAGAGCTCTATCACATCGACTGTCACTAATTTTACTTGACAGATTGAATGAAAACCTAAAATGCACGAAAAAAAAATAAACTGAAAAAAGTGCCCAAAAGTACAGACAGCTTTCTCTCGGTAAATACTAAATACTATAGTATTTACCGAGAGAAAGCAGAGCACATAGCTATAACAATATTGCTAAAAATAAAATAAAGGTATAATTAAAAACATTTCATCCACCCGTAAAAATATTGGCAGGGGTTATTCTGCCCCTGGCTAACTCATATATACATTGCTGATTTTTAATGCCTCAGCGACAAAATGTCTGGAGACATTTTTTTTTTCCTCTTCGTCCGTCCTCCCCACGTAGGGTTTATATGGTTGTCCAGCTGACTACTATACAGTTTTCAAGCTAGAACATTTATAGAATGCAGGGTGTTAGCACATATACTAAAATGTGCATGTTATCAGGCTTATGATTTTCTTTAAATTTTCCACAAATGGTAGGATGTTGAACTTTGTCATTTTTGGGTAAAATTATGAACGCAGGGTTTGTGATTTGTCCGTCAAACTCCTTCTCAAGTGGTTAAGCTAGAACCTCTATAATATACAGGTTGTTTGCACATATACTGAGGATGTGCAAATTGTCAAAATTTGATTTTGATAATCTTTTAAATTGCCATAATATCTAGATGTTTCATTTTTTTTGTATTACACCCTCCTCCTTTTAGCTTTGCAAAACTTAAGAGTTATGAAGTACTAAATTGTCATACATCTATATAGAATAAATCATAACTATGGTGGGGAAAATTAAATGTGTCTTACAGACAGCCATTTCAAGTTGTACTTCAGAATCACTGTTTGCTAAACTATAATTATGCATGCGGCGAAGGCATCATATTTGTCTAGTTAAAAGTTGTATTTCAAGAGATTTCATCTAGAAACAAAGATGCTGATGAAATTTCAACTGTCATGTGTTATAAATGCTTGCCCCATACCCTTGGATATACAAAAAATCCTTTTTGAGTCCTTGGTTTTAGCTATCCCGGCAAATCTTGTACCACAAGCCCAATAGCAAATATTCCAGAAAAGCTAAAAGCCATAATTCAGACATTCCAATCAGAAACCCAAGATTATGAAGAAGTTTTATAAATATAAAATTGAGAATGGAAATGGGGAATGTGTCAAAGAGACAACAACCCGACCATAGAGCAGACAACAGCTGAAGGCCACCAATAAGTCTTCAATGCAGCGAGAAACTCCCGCACCCGGAGGAGTCCTTCAGCTGGCCCCTAAACAAATATGTATACTAGTTCAGTGATAATGGACGTCATACTAAACTCCAAATTATACACAAGAAACTAAAATTAAAAATGATACAAGACTAACAAAGGCCAGAGGCTCCTGACTTGGGACAGGCGCAAAAATGCGGCGGGGTTAAACATGTTTTTTGAGATCTCAACCCTCCCCCTATACCTCTAGCCAATGTAGAAAAAACAAACGCACAACATGCACAGTAAAACTCAGTTTAAGAGAAGTCCGAGTCCGATGTCAGAATAGGAAACAAAAGAAAATAAACAAAATGACAATAATACATAAATAACAACAGACTACTAGCAGTTACTGACATGCCAGCTCCAGACCTCAACTAAACTTATTGAAAGATTATGTCTTCATCATATGAATATCAAGCACAATCCCTCCTGTTGACTTTTGATCTACTGGCCTTGAAATCGAAAGGCTTCCTCCGTTTTTCTCTTGTAACAATAACTGGTATTAAGTTGATTAAATCCAACAAGTGTAACTGGAATATTCACCAGAAATAACAAATTGAAAGTAATAATTGTATATTTTCATAACCTTTTGTAGATGTGACCTAGAAATCTGACCTTAAAATTGACAGGGTTCTTCACTTTCCTACATCATCCATCTATAAAGTTTCATTTTAAACCAACAAGGAAGCCAATTGTTTAAAAATGTATATAAATTTTTATTATCAAAAAGGTTCAGCGACTTTGAACATTGACTTTTTCATCCCAATATAAATAGTCTTTTCCTTTTCCAATAAAACACGGGAAACTCAAGATTTTATCAGGAAACGCACATATTTTTAGTAACGGCGACCGTGAACTTTGACCTATTAACCTAATTATCAATAGGCTTATTACCATTCCCTTTATAATTCGTCTATATAAGTTTTCCTTCCACTTAAGCAATGGAAAGTGAATATTTCACCCCGGAAGATATTTTTACGGATACATAGATGAATAAAGTGATAACTATAGTGTGCTCTCGGACAAAAATGTCGTGGAGCATAATTATACACAAAACCGTCTAGCCTCTGCCTCAGGGAAATAGTTTTCTTTTAACTTGTTCAGCTTTTGATTACCTTTTCGTTTTTGGTTTTGGTGGAAATAAATACAAATATACTTTTAAGTGTAAACTATTAAATACATCAGTTTGTATAAGCAGAGACATAATATACACACATGTGTATATATGTCTCTGGTATAAGAGCGACCTGGAAGTCTTAGTTCTTTTTTTGTTGTTGACATAAAACTTTTGTTCTTCTAAATAAAGAACTTTGACTGATGTACAGCATAGGAAAACGCAATGTGAAATGGGAAAAAGAAACTAAGGCGTTTCAAGTTATACAAATTTCCTAGTTCATATAATTCCTAGAATTCAGTATAAGGAAATGAAACAATCTCTTACAGTACAGTTTGTAAAGTATCTACCGGTTGTTATGAAAGTATCGGTATTTGTTTTTATTGAAATTCTTTACAAATTTAAAGAATGACTATAGTCCTGCGCTGTTTATGGCATTGGTATATGAAATCTACTGCAAAGTTCAGCCGCCGATAGCATAGTGGAGGACGGCGCGTAACAAGTTTGATTGATTGAATGATTGGTGTTTGTTTTTACGCCGCCGGCGTAATTTGTAGTTGTCTCATTAAAAATCATACCATATCTTCTTATTTCACATCAACTACTTTATAAAGGCGTAATTTGTAATTATAAAGTACTTTGATATGAAATAAGATGTGGTATGGTTTTGAATGAGACAGCTATTCACCAGAGTCCAAATGCCGAGGATGTAAGCCACTATAGGTCTCGGTATACGCAACTGAACGATCTTCAACAATGAGCAAAACCCATACCGTTTAGTCAGCTATATAAATGACAAAATGTGAAACAATTCAAACGACAAAACCAACGGCCTGATTAATGACAAAACGATCAACGTAATACAATTAGAATTAATCATATTTTTGAGCGCTCAACCCTCCCCTAACCTGGGACAGTGGTATAACAGCACATCATAGGAAAAACTGTAAAAATTAGTTGTAAATAGTTTAACTCAAAAGATTGGATCGAATTAAACACAAATACAAGTAACATAAACTAAAGACACAGTACCGATGTAAAAGAGTACTCGCAGTTTGTAACTTGCTTACATGAACTGCATGATACTTTGATACGGTTTATATTTCATTGTTTTACTTGTACCGCTTAATTTTTTATTTGTTCCAAAATGTACTGGTATTTTTGAGTTAATTGTATAAAAGAGTGACCCACAATCTAACAACACAAAAAGCACAAACGACAACTAGAGATCAACATAAGGTTTCCAACTATAAACAGGTGTCAATACCAATATCAAAATCACTGGTGTCCAGAAATGTTGAGGGTCTGCTCTCAACACCAAACTCTAAAAGGAAAAATAAGGTATTATCGAAGAGAAGCACTGACGAAGTTCCTAATATGTAACGGGTAACTCTATGGTATCGGTTTTGCAAACGACACTTGGAAAAAGTACCATGCAGTTATTATTAATAACGTATCTAAGAGTGCTCGCATTAATTTCTATCTACCATTTGTGTCTGTTTAAAACATTACTTCGTTGACATAAAATTGTTGATCATTGTTTTATACTTACCCGTCTGAATGGGCTGGGGCAACGCCTTGTACCACAATTTGAATTCCAGGAGTTAGGTTTCCTCCAGGAATACTCCCAACACTAGTGACATTCTGTAATGTACATTTAGTGAAGTATTTTTTATGATAGCATATTCATCTGTTAGCAGTATAAAAGCATATATTCTATGTCTCCCATTTCAATCTTAGTTTATTTTACATTTGACTTTACACCTTTAACTTCATGAAAAATCAATAATCTACTAGTACATAAAACTTGTATTAAGTCTATCGTCAATGAAACATATCACTTTTGTACATCTTGAAAACTGTTTTCCAGGGGTAGTTAATTAAAATAAAAAATATATCCCTGACATTAACAACAAAAATAAATCTTGCGTTGGTAACCATGTCATATGTTGATTTGACTGTACCAAGGTAGACACGTTGTCAGTCACTGTTATTGTCATTATTTGTATCTTAATCTGCTTATTCTTTAATAAGGAAACTGGTGTTTATTGTTGAAGACGTGTACATATTCACCTATAGAGGTATTTGTTGTTTTTTTTTTTGCGTTTTGACTTGTTTTGTTTTGTGTATGTTTTTGCGGTGTTGTCGTTGGTTATCATTGCCATATACCCCAGACAACACCTTTTATTAACATTTCTTTTTTTTTTATTGCAGAACCTGAGCGTACCCCAATTGTTCGTTTGGTATCGCGTTGCTCAATTTTAAGTGTTCTGTGTACAGTTTTGAAAACTGATTGTTTGTCTTTTCGTCCTTTTTCTCGTCATGATTGTCTACGTTTTTCAATGGGATATCCCCAAACTTAACTCTGGTAAACAACAAATATAGAGATCCACAACTACATAGCGTGTGAAGTAATGCCGTCAACTGATAAGATGCACTTTTTCTGACTGACAGTCGGGTACACAAAGACAATGTTCTTCTGGACACATACGTGGATGAGGTACATATACAACTCATTATTGCGTACCTTGAACCAAGCTACAGTTGTATTAGATGTGCATAATTTCATCTTGTGGTATATTATTTTAGACCAAAAAGTCGATTTGAAATCTTGGTTTTCATATTTTGTTTACGTTGTTCGAACAATTCTGATTTTACAAGTATTTCCAATAGTTTTACATGTAAATTAACTTCCTCCCATGGGAGGCATACTGGTTTGTTGATCAACACCAAAATGTATCAATATTGCCTAGTAGCAAGTAACATTTCTGTGGACATTATGAATAATCAAAATATTCACACAAAAAATCATTCAGTTTTGGTTTCAACATTTCTAAAATGGACAGAAAATTTCATTAACCAACCAGTTCTCCTAACCGCACGATTTTAATTTAAATGATTCGATACTTAAGAATTTTAATTACAGAAAAATGTTGAAATATTTCAGACTCGTAAATACCTAACTGTCTTCTCTACATCACAATGTATTTTAGGTGTTTCATTGGAATGTGTGTTGGCTGTTTAAAGTAAATCATATCTCTACTTAATATTTTCTTTGATTCATCCGTATTTACATACGTCACACTTAATATAGATACTAGATAAGATTTTTTTCAGGGAACAATATGACTCGAACGCAGTTTAAAAGAAAATCTTTCGAGTTTGGGAATCAGGACACTTTGCTCATCAATCTTACAAAGAACAGTTCGCTTTCATGATACCCTACTGACTAATGAGATTCTAACTAGTTCAAAGAAAAGGATAAGGAGTTTACAGTCTGTGTCAAGACACAAAAGTTGTGGCGATAGACCATAGGTAACCTAAAAGATCTTGTAAATTACTAAAAAAATCTTGCTTAAAGGAGAGAATCTACAAAATAAAACTTGACATTTAGTACCTCAGGAATTGTCTTGATAAATATTATTGGAATATAATCAGGTTTATACATAATATATATTGGTAATAAATATTGGTACAATTTTTATTACAATCTAATTAAAATATAGAACTCTGATTTCGTTATACTACATATTTCGTTAAATCAGAGTTCTATATTTTAATTAGATTGTTTTTACTAATGACCACGCAACATTTATTTCTGTTATTACAAATAAAACTTATAAATATTAAAAACAAATTTCCAAAAATATTGATTCAATTAAGAATATTCAATTTGAAATACATAATAACTTACTGGATTAATCACATTTCCCAAAAGCGACATGGTTTTCTATCAACTTCACTTTCTGTTTTCCATTCTGTTTGCTCAAATAATATTATGGTATTACTTAAACAGTCTAATTGTCTTCCCTTTAAAGGCGACGTACTTGTCCTTATTGTTCATATTAGTTCAAATCATACAAAATTCCTTCCTTGTGTCACTTTTAATTCCTTCTTGTAAAAATTAAATGCAAAAAAATCTATGCACCAGGAAATCGGAAATGGGGATTTCTTTTTTGAATATATATTTGTACAGTATAGGGATTCGAAAAATATTAAAATTATTATGTCAAGGGCTGTAAGTTTTTTGTTAATATATTACGAAACATTCGTAGTCATGCATTAAAATCAATAACATATTTGCCAAATCTAGATTTACATCATAACTAATTTCAGTTTCTAAAAGAAAACATTTTATCAGTATTCACTTAAAATACTTGATTAATCAATATATTTTATTACATATGTGTCGGTAGCTGCAGGAATTGGACGAAGTATCATCAATGTTGCTGAAATATTTGGTACTATATTAAAAAAGGACTATTGTACTATACTGGTATTGAGGAACATCGTCCCTTGGAGTATATCACCTGACAAAAGGGTTATTGCACTAATGTTGAGAAATATTGTCCCTCGCAGTATATTACATGACAAAAGATTATGCTTCCACAATATTAGTGCAATAAAACTACAAGGTTTGTACATTTTGTGCAGACAGACAATTGGTAAAAATACGAGTGATAATAAAAATTACCCTGAATAGTTGATTATAATAATGATTAATATATTAATAGAGGAGGAAATTCACAGTAATAAAGATATCAAATAGTTTGTAATCATTATATTTTGTTAAGTTATTTTGAATGATTTAAACCAGGCGAGACAGTAATAATCTATTATAGTTTTCAAGATAATAGCAAAACATAAAAATAGTTTGCGGGTTGGACGAGAATGATGATTTGGGGCGGGCTAGGAAAAGTGACTACTTAATATCTGTAATCAATTTCTAGTTTTCAATCTTTAACCCTGAAACTTCACAAACAGTTTGCACACGTTTTGAAGTTATGCACCTGCTATTATGGAATAGTTTGAATATCTCCCCCCATCAAATCTAGGCCAAATTGTCCTCTCTATGCCCTGATGATGCACTATCGGTACTCTAAAAATACATCTCTATACAAGTTTAGATGATCCTAAAGTTTTACTTATAGTTGACAAGATATTAATTCGGCCATGAAACTTAAACAAAGTCAATGAAGCGTGTAATTAAAGGTCAGATTGGCCTACTTTTGACAAAATGTTGACATACTCCCCAAAATAATTATTTATATAAGTTCAGACTGAGATGATCCTATTACGGTAGTTACTGAGTTATAAACTTGGATGCAAAACTTAACCAATGTCAATGGACGTGAAACGTAGGTCACATTATCCTACTTTTTACCTGATAGCAGACACGCTCCCATTGTTTCCAAAAAACTTTTGGACACATGTTTTCTATTTGTAGTCCTAAACTATAAAACTTAACCTTAGTAGTGAAGCATGAAATGTAGATTACAGTCAAATACTTTTGCCTGCATCTGAGACTACTATAACTGTGTTATAGTAGTCTCAGCCTGCATGAATGCTCGGGCATCAAACGTCACCAAAGTCATAACACGAAGAAATATGACACAAAGACTCCCATTTATGGACCTTCATATAAAATTACAAGATTATAATATTGGCCAACTAGTAACTGAGATTTGGACAATGCACACACGTTGACACCAACGATACTCAATAAGTTTCCCTCAACTTTGTTAAGGTGATCTAAAACTTAGACCTGTCCTTGTCACATCTTCATGTGCCTGTCCCAAGTCAAGAAACTTGGTCAGTCCTTTAGTATATCTTAATGTTTTTTTTTTGTCATTTGAAGAATTCAGTGTTGATGGGAGATCATTAACTGTTTTCATTAACTTAATTTTCAATTTCTCCATTCTGACCCAAAGCCAATTAGACCTGGACATATTGAATAGATCACGGTATGTTTATCTTTTAACATTTATAAGTTCATCTCAAGATATCTAGTGTTATTGTGTTCTTGTGTTGCTATTATTGATGTTCTAGTATACCATACATTTCCTTTTAAGTTCACCTGGCCATAACACCACATGAGCTTTTGGCATCGCTTGGCGTCTGTTGTCATTAACTTTTTCACCCATTTCATCAAAACTTTGGGTGAATGATCCTTAGAGTATCTTGTATTAAGTTTGTATTCCCCCCAGACATTATGTAGAGAAAATCTGATAGGGGCAAAGTGCTCAGAATGTCAAAATCTACCTACTTCCTTGTTTCATCAGATGACTCTTATTGGTCTCAAAGGCGATTTTTGGCAAAATTTCATGGTTTTGCCTATTATCTCAAAAACTATATTAGATAGGCAGAAACTGTTAAAGGCAAAATTGATCAGAAATACAAGATCTACAAAAATTCCAATATGACTGGATCCATTGGATGATTCCATAGTGAATTATTACCTCATGTACCTGTAAATTACGATTTTTGACTACTTTTAATTCTTTTGCCTATTATCTTGAAAAACTATTATCTACTAACTTTTTTGTCAGTCATATACTTTTTTGCAAAAATACCAGGTATGTGATAAAGGCTCCTAGATGTCTCATGTATTCAGACCAACCCGGTGCTCACATTAAGTGCTAGAGCTTGTAGGCTAGATCCCACAGATGGCCAAACCAAACCATACAGTAAGAGTAGAGACTGGGAGGCTCGGAGTCCATATAATGTGTCCGAGTAAGATTCCCATCTTTGCCATTTTGTCTTGGACAGTTTTCCTGTGGATTGTTACCTAAGTCAAGTATAAAAGAGAGTACATTCATAACCAATTAACATGCATTACAGAAGTTAATTGAGATGCAGAAGAAGGCTCTTGCCTTTGTTGTAACTTTTTAATTAAGTGTATAGAAACCTGTTTATTCTTCAGAATTCATAAGTTTAAATAATAAAAATAACAAAAATAAAAGTGTTATAACTAACATATTTATTGGTAATTGATCAATAACAGTTCATTATAACAAGCAACATAAAATAACTAATATAAATCTAACTTACTGACTGTTTAGGGATGAATGCAATTATGCATTTAAAAAAGTAGCATACACTAGACATTGAAACAACAATTAACTGCCATCAATATGACATTAATTAACTAAATATTATTTAGAGTAGAAACATATTTACAGTAAAGAATGACCAAGAGCTGTTACATAGTAGGACTATTATAACTTAATATACATGAACTTTAAACCAAAAAAACAAAGAGAGGCAAAAAAATTATAAAAACATTTTATCGATCAATAAAAAATATTCATAATTTTTTTTAAAGGATAATCATAATGGATAAATATGGATGTGGTCAGAGACAGACAATACAAGAGATCAGCAACTATGAGAAGTCATGTGATACAATACAGCCCTCATGATTTCATTGAAAATGTTTAAGTACAAATTAAACTCTTTATTTTCTCAAAAATCACCCCAAAAAATTTAAATAATACCTTCAATACTATCAAGAAATTATTTAGATTTCATTTTTTTATAACATCATATTCATACTATCAAAAAGAAAAAGTTGTATAAGCTATACCAACACTGCCCCTCTTTCTGTCACCTCTTTAAATTTTCATTTTTTCTGTCAATTTTCGACTTTCTATAATCATAAAATATTTATTTCCTAAGATATGTTTTCAAATATTTTAAACCATATCCAGAAAAAGAAAAAAAAAGAAAAGTAATATGTCTGTATATGAAAAATAGTTTTAAAAATAATTAAAATGCTGTATGCCATTTCAATGGATTATATTGCCATTAAAGGGAGTTGCCTATCTTGTTTGTTATATGTCTCTGATATAGTATATGAATCCCCCCAAAAGGAAAGGAAAAATGTTTTCTCTACTGCTTTATAAGGAAAGGAAAAATGTTTTCTCTACTGCTTTATAAGGAAAGGAAAAATGTTTTCTCTACTGCTTTATAAGTTTTTGTAATAATGTTATAAGAACTGCATCTTCAATTACTAATCAGAATGACAAGAAAAGAGGACAAGAAGGTCTAAACCTAGGACACTTGTTCGGGCATATACTGTATAAAATACATCACTGAAGTTTCATTGAAAACCTTTCATGTTATGACAATAGAATATTGATAATGGCATCGCATCTTTCAATATATGTAATGTAAGGCATCGTATGAATAAAGTGATGTGTAACAAGTGATAAAATCTAATACATGCAAGCAACATTGAAAAAATAAATAACATGATTACTTTTTTTTAGGTGAAATGAAAAACTGTATATACTGTTATTTTCTTGTACACATCTCACAAGGTTCTTGTCTGGAGGAAGCCAATGAAAAATAAATCGCATTCATGTTTGAGGGAATGAAAGTGTGAATTATTCCCTCTTTGACAACTGAAAATCAGAGCCTAAGCACTTCCATAAATCTGACTGGAAATGTAGGAAGATATATTACAAAAAAATTATTACATCTTAGGAATACTTAATGCATATCACAAAAAGCTACATCAAAATCTGACAATGAAATTAAACAATAAAAGGAAAATACTGTTTTCTCTCTTACTTTTGGATTAAAAAATTGATTGGGTTCAAAAGCAATACCTGACTTTGGTTTGTGCTGAGGGGCACTTTATAAAAATTTACAAGGATAGTGAAATAATATTTTGTCTACAGAGGAACAAAGAAGATAACAATAACATAATAAAAATGCATACTGGTAAATTTGTGGTTGTATGAAAATAGTTCCTGTCAGCCACTTCTGATAAGCTACCTAATCATCACTACAGCATGAAAAGTAAGTCAAATTAATATTTATTCTACTTTTCTTTACAAAACATCTTCAACAATGTTCAAGGTCATTGGTCTAAAGGTATTTAGAGAAAAAAGTTATTGTGTTATGAAAATTAAATCACCATGTAAAAAAGAAAAGACAGTTAAAGTTATCACGTATGTTCATGATTGGTCATCAAATGTTTTTTCATAGTATTTTCTACACAAATGTAATCAAAGGAGTAAATAAGTGCTAAAATCAAGCATCAGTAATCACAAAATGTTTTATAAATAATATAATCAAATAAAATGTTTATCAATATGAAAATTCTTCATGCTGACACAAAAAGCACGACAAAGCTAGCTAGCTTGGCATCATAAAATAAAAAAAACTTTTGGATTTTACAATCTTTCCATTTCAATTGCATATGATATACTTTCAAACTATATCAAAATATAGTTTGGTAAAAAATATTATCTGTTTCCAAACATTTGCAATATTTAATATCAAAATACGAAAATTTTAAACTTGAAATTAAAACTTTCAAAACAACAAACTATTTTATGGTGTCATGAATAAATATGTTCTATTCATAATTTTATTTAAAAAATACAGAAGATTGTTTATAATCTGATATAAGATCTGCATATTTTGTTACAAAATAAGAAATAAATGCTGATACTGTACAGTTTGTTTTTCTACTGTTGCTTATTTGAGGTATTACTGGAATCTGACTTGTTGGACAGTAACATTTCCACTGATATTCAGAGTGTTAAATCTGGTAAATGGTGTCAATCTGTGTCGAAATTCCAGGAAATGCTGGTTATTTACTGCCACCTGTCCAATAACAGTGTAAAGTTTAGAGTAAATCGAACTTAATATACTCTAGTAAGTGTGCTATGTGAGAAAAATTGCCATAAATCTGACATTTAAAGTTAAATTGATCTAAGCAAACTGCCTTAAATTTGATAGTTACAGTCCTGTAACTCTGGAAGAACAGGCTAATACTAATGTTGTGTTTAAATTTCACAAGAATTGTTTAAGTTTTATGACCCTTTCTGTAGACCTGTGAATTAAGAAATTTACAAAGTGCTATGATATCAAAACAGCAAAAATACAGAATAAAAGTGACATTCCATTTTGTACATATACCTATGGGAAAGTTCTTTCATAGCAATATTATTTATTGTTTCATTGCATTTAATAGAATATGGGGATTTTGTGGCAAATAAAGCCAAGATTTTTGACTTTATTACGGAGATTTCTGTTATAAAATTTTAAACATAGATTACTCACTTGTTTGGCCATGATATGCTAGCGTTTATTGTTTACCAAAAGTCTGAAACAACCTTTATAATAATAAGCATTCTGTGAGTATTGCATGGCAATACACAGTCCCCTACCGGTTAAAAATTCGTTGTACTGGAACAAAATGCTAACCTGACAAATAACTTGTCATGGTGTAAATCATATAACAAATATCAAGTCAATATCTTCAAGCATGATGAAAAAAATGTGGAAAATTGATTATTTGAGTGAATTTTCTAAGTCCAAGGGCCATAACTCTGCACAAAAACATCAGACTGGAACAAAATTCGAACCTGATCTGTAACTTGTCATGATAAAACTATATACCAATTATCAAATCAATATCTTCAAGCATGACAAAAAAAAGAAGAGGAAAACTGATTATTTGAGTGAATTTTCTAAGTCCAAGGACCATAACTCTGCATAAAATCATTAGACCGAACCAAAATTCGAACTTGATCTGTAACATATCATGATAAAACAATACACCAAATAACAAATCAATTTCTTCAAGCACGAAGAAAAAAAGTGTGGAAAACTGATTTGCCGGACTGACGGATGGACAGACAGACAGACAGACGGAGTGCAAACCTAAAGTCCCCTTCGACTTCGTCGGTAGGGGACTAAAAAACCTTGTGCTGAGTCGAGCTCACCCCAGAAGGTGTACTTGAATAGGTCCATATTCATACTTGTTTTAACCACTATCTTTATTTATAAACTTATTTTAGGGAAATCATTGCTAGCACTGCATGCAATAATCTTCTATCTATTAAACACGGAAATGTCAAATATTAGAGTACAAGTGGAAAGGCTGTGGATTACGTATGGATGGACATATGGACTATGGTATACAATAATACTTTCCTAATGGGCATATAATAGGAAGTCAACATGAAAGGGGACCTCAATCTGAATCTTATTATGCAATTAATGACGGCCACAGTAAACCAATAAACCTATATGCCTTAAGAACAGTAAGAAACTTCCAAGTTATGAAGGCTAAAATACAATAACAAAGTATCAACTTAGATTTTGTTTATTTAGTCTTAGATGCATGATTTTTTTTATTAGTTGTTAGTGGCTTTGAACTAGCTGTCAGTAACTTAAACTGTGAGTACTCTCAGATCTGTACTTAGTGTCTTTTTGTTGTTTGGATGTACAAGTACCCGGCCACGTCCACTTGTATTTGTATTTTTATCCATCTGATGAGTTAAGCCTCTTTCAACTGATTTTTATAGTTCGTTCTTATGTTGTACTGTTACACCACTGTCCCAGGTTAGGGGGAGGGTTGGGATCTCGCTAACATGTTTAACCCCGCCACATTCTGTACGTATGTGCCTGTCCCAAGTCAGGAGCCTGTAATTCAGTGGTTGTAGTTTGTTTATGTGTTACATATTTTTTTTTTCGTTCATTTTTTGTACATAAATTAGGCCGTTAGTTTTCTCGTTTGAATTGTTTTACATTGTCATTTCGGGGCCTTTTATAGCTGACTGTGCGGTATGGGCTTTGCTCATTGTTGAAGCCCGTACGGTGACCTATAGTTGTTAATTTCTGTGTCATTTGGTCTCTTGTGGGGAGTTGTCTCATTGGCAATCATACCACATCTTCTTTTTTTATATGGACTGAACTGTTATGTTTTTATTTTCTCTATTTGGCATTATTCAATGCTGAATATTATTTAATCATGTTTGATGTATAACTTTTTTATTAACTATTTTTCAGTTAAATACTGTTGATCCCAATACATACCTTAAAACATCCATTTTCACATAAAATAATCATTTCAAAGGGCACATATCCTGCAAATGGGAAGTATGGGATAGATCTTTCTTCCTGTCCCCATGCACCACGTGACTTGCTATTACGTACAATCTGATTAATATCTGAACCAGTATTAAAGCGCACATCAAAATGCATTCCAATATCACAATCTGGGTATGAACCTTCTTGTAAGTTAATTGTAAATCTGGAAATTATAAAATTTGACTGTTTAAAACGCATATACTTCCCTGTAATCATAGCATAAACATGTACTTTATCTAAAAGATAATTGTACTGATAAAATCATAGCTTATCTCAATATATTCGTCAACAGATATAAGGTACATATTGAAACAGAAACAAACTCAAAATAAAGAGCTGCGCCATGAGCTCATGATACGCCCATTACTTTTTAAAAGAATAAAGTTCCATAATTCTTCATATCATATCAAAAATTAAAAAAAATAAATGGGGAATGTATCCATGGGCCACAGATGATGCCCCCACTTGCATATAACGTAATAAAGGGACATAACTCAAGAATGATGGCAGTGACCCAAATTTGTACTTTTGTGAGTTTTGTGGTAATAAGCATTGTGTATAAGTTTCATAACATTTGGATGAAGCAAACTTAAGTTAGAGGATGGAAACAAAAACTTCAGCAATTTTTCCATTTGTAAAGGGCATAACTCTAGAATGGTAAAAGTAAAACCACCAAAATTCAAATTTTATCTGTGTTTTGTGGTAATAAGCATTGTGTATAAGTTTCATAACATTTGGTTAAGGCAAACTTAAGTTGGAGAACGGAAACAAAAAGTTCAGCAATTTTTCCATTTGTAAAGGGCATAACTCTAGAAGGGTAAAAGAGACGACACCAAAAATTAAACTTGATTTGTGGTAATAAGCATTGTGCATAAGTTTCATAATATTTGGTTGAGGCAAACTAAGGTAAGAGAACGGAAACGAAAAAATTCAGCAATTTTTTCCATTTGTAAAGAGGCATAACTCTAGAACGGTAAAAGTGACGTCACCAATATTCAAAGTTGATCTGTGTTTTGCGGTAATAAGCATTATGTATGTGAACTCTAAAGTGCGATGGTACTCTAAAGTGCGATGGTCATGCTTAAGTCTGATGGTCTACACTAAAGTGCGATGGTGTCAGACGCTAGAGTGCGATGGTTGTTTGTTTTTTTTTAAGTGCGATCAGAAAACACGCTAAAGTGCGATTGTGTGACGGGAATGTGGTTCAGGCAATGTTTTTTTTTTTCGTTTGTTGCTGAGTTTCTATAACTTTTTTGTTTATTATTTTATTCATATATCAAGCTGTAGTCTTTCACTTTTGAATTGTTTTACACTGGTCATTGTATAACTCTACATAGCTTGTTATGCAGGCTTTACGTTGAAGGCCGTATGAGTATTAGTTGCATACATGAACGACATTTGGGGTTGGATGGATAGTTCAGTCATACTACATCTTTTTATTTTTATTTAAAGTACGATAGTTGTCCAAAAAGTGTAATGGTTACATTGCAGAAGATAGCATGGTTAGTAGATCCGGAATTTAGTGGTAGTCGTTTGTTGGTATATTTCATATTTGCTGTTTGTTTATTGTTTTGTATTTAAATCAGGTTTATAACTTATTATTTTTCTCGTTTGAATTGTTTTACAATGGTTATTTTGAGGCCCTTTGGTCTTAATAGAATACTATGCAGTGTAAGCAAATGCTCCGTGTTAAAGGTCATACTATAACCTAAAGTTACATACATTAATGACATTGTCTTGGATAGAGAGTTGTCTTATTGGCAATCATATATGATGATACTACACATCTGTTCTTTAGGTTGCTGTCTAGTTGACGTATATTCATTATTAACAGAAATAACAAACCATATTGTTATTTTTTTATAGAATTATTCAATTAGAAAGTAAAAAAGAAACTAATCTTGGGATGTACGGACAGACGTACAGATGGACAAGGGTAAAACTTAATGCCTCCTCCACAATGAAAGGGGCATAAAAACTAAAGGGAGGTTATTTAATAGATATAAACAATTCACCAAAGTTTCATGAGAACTGCTCAAAGCATTTTTGAATTACTTTCCGAAAACTGGAAAATCCCCCTTTTTAAATGAATAAAACCCCATAACTCGGAAACGTAAAATCTAAAATTTATAAAAATCTTACGTCAATAGATATAAACAATTCACGAAAGTTCCATACAAATCGGTTAAAGAGTTTTTGTCTGACATGTTGACAACGGACAGACGGACAACGATATACCATAATACAACATTATAATAGAGGTAACTGGGATCTCATACCTGTCAACTTTTTAAAATCTTCAAGGGAGATTTTAAGTGCAAGAGGACATAATGCTTCTCTTATATTGTCAGAAGTGTTTTTAATCTTCTATTATATTGTTTGAATGAGTATGTATGTGCTTAAATACCATTTTAACTCATTTGAATGCCTTTTTTGAGGTGTTCAGTTTATAAAATAAAGAAATTCAAAATTCAGGCAGGTCTGGATCCGATCTAAATAGCTTACCATGTAAAATAACCTCAAATTTGCTCAAAAGAAGTGGATTGTTAGGTTTTTTCATCAATCCCCTAAAGTTTCAGGGGGAGATTACAGGCATTTATTTAATATTGGTCTATCAGAATCAAAGATTGCTTCATGTATCCATCTTTTCATCTGTTGGCATTCAAACAAAAATGATCTAATAAGGACCTTTCAGCAATTTGCAGTTTCAGAGATGAAAATGTTTTTTTCATAATGTTTCAATTGGAACTATTTGCCACCAATGCTGTCATAGATCTGTGTAAACTATACAAGATTGCAATACAACTAAACCAACATGCATAGAATTTTATTGCAAAAAAAAAAACTTTGGTTACTTTCCTATAAGGTACAAGAAATGATTGTAACAGGATGCTGTTACGAAGTCTCCCAAACGAAGCTCCCATATTTCGTAATTCCCAGTGTTGCCTGACATTGGACAAAGTCCAGTGAAAATTGGTTTGGTCCAGTAAAGTTATATGCATTAGTGATGCCTGGGGACTAACACTGTATATCATTCAAATCATCTTGGCATGACAAACCAGAATATATATGGTTTAGGGGTGGGGATCTCGACCATTTACAAGATACTAGAACATTGGGGGTGGGGGGAACCCCTGGGGACTGACCGTATACATCATTCAAATGTTCGAGACACGACGAACAGGAATATATATGGTTTAGGGGTGGGGATCTCGACCATTCACAAGATATTAGAACATTGGGGGTGGGGGGTGGGGGGGGGGGGGGGGGGGGGGGGAACGCCTGGGGACTGACCGTATATGTCATTCAAATGTTCAAGACATGATGAACAGGAATATATATGGTTTAGGGGTGGGGGTCTCGACCATTTACAAGATATTAGAACTTTCTCAAATTGCAGGAGGTTGGGATGACCACTGGGGACTAAGCCTGTATTTCATTCAAACCATCTTGGTATGACAAACCAGAATATATATGGTTAAGGGGTGGGGATCTTGACCACTTACAAGATATTAGAACTTTCTTAAATAGCAGGGGGTGGGGGTGACCCCTGGGGACTAACCCTGTATTTCATTTGATGTGCTTTATCATGACAAACCAGAATATATATGGTTTAGGGGTGGGGATCTCGACCATTTACAAGATATTAGAACTTTCTCAAATGGCAGGGGGTCGGGATGACCCCTGGGGACTAACCCTGTATATCATACAAACCATCATAGCATGACAAACCAGAATATATATGGTTTAGGGGTGGGGATCTTGACCACTTACAAGATATTAGAACTTTCTTAAATGGCAGGGGGTGGGGGTGACCCCTGGGGACTAACCCTGTATTTCATTTGATGTGCTTTATCATGACAAACCAGAATATATATGGTTTAGGGGTAGGGATCTCGACCATTTACAAGATATTAGAACTTTCTCAAATGTCATGGGGTCGGGATGACCCCTGGGGACTAATCCTGTATATCATTCAAACCATCATAGCATGACAAACCAGAATATATATGGTTTAGGGGTGGGGATCTTGACCACTTACAAGATAATAGAACTTTCTCAAATGGCAGGGGGTCGGGATGACCCCTGGGGACTAACCCTGTATATCATTCAAACCATCTTAGCATGACAAACCAGAATATATATGGTTTAGGGGTGGGGATCTCAACCATTTACAAGATATTAGAACTTTCTTAAATGGCAGGGGGTGGGGTGACCCCTGGGGACTAACCCTGTATTTCATTTAATGTGCTTTATCATTTAGAACATTTTCAATTAAAAAGATTGTGTCTATCACAAACAGTTTTCAATTTATAATCATTTGAAAATAAAACCCTCCTTTCTTTTTGCCCCTTAAAGTACCCCTTTATAAACCCCACTGCACAAACAAAACCCTGATTGCACCACTAGACATGTTAGTCTAACATATTGGGAAACCCTAAGTTAATCTGACAAGCGGTTTTGGAGAACGGGTGCGGACAAGTTCAAATTTAAAAGCGGCAGAAGAAGAAGAAGAAGAAGAAGAATAATAACTGAGCAAAACCAATAAGTCTTCCCAAACTTCGTTTGGGACACTTAAATATGATCTACTTATACCTTTCTATGCCACTTTTCATATTTTGAAATAACTTGGACTTGCCTGATTTGATGTATGACACTTTTTCATCTTACAACAAATTCAGTAATTGTCAGATTCTTTTCAGGTTGATGATATCAAATTTAATCAAAGTACTGAAGTACTGAACATCGGATGACCGCAAGTTCTGGTGGATGGTTACAAGCACTTGTCTCAGAAAAAAAAAATCATATCTCTATACCTGAAAGTTAGGTTAAGGTACATAGATATATTTTTTTCTGAGATAAGTTCTTGTGTGGATGATGAATAAATGACAGGGAATTCAATCTCACCATAATAATTATTATATTGTAGTGATATAATCATTTGTTATCAGTTTACTCTGGTTTGTTATTATATATTAAAATTAATATTTGTATAACAGTTATATATATAGCAGATCATCTTAATAACTCTAAAGGCAAATTTTCGTCCATTTATATATCATTCTATTTTACTATTCTTATGATATTGCATGTGCAAATGCATGGTGGACACTCTTCTGTAATAATTAGTTTTTCTAATAGATTGGATTTGAGTAGGCATTCATATTTTCCCGCTTTTGTTAAAAAAACGTTCTCGAGATATTCTTCCGCATGCGTTAACACAAATTTTTGGTATGATGATTTGTTATTGATATATATATTTCTCACAACAAAACATTTTCCTATGATTTATCTATGTCCTAAAAAAAAATTTTCATGAATATTTATTGATGAAATTAATATATAACAAGCGATAAAGAATGTTATTTTGCACTCGATAATATCCACGTAAATATACGAAATACGTTCGGTTATCAGTCAAAAGGCAAGGAAATTTCTGCGGCAACATAACATCAGTATGACCTCTCAAGGTCACATCCGATATAAAAACCGAGGTTTAAATGTCTTTAACACTTGAAAACTTATATCTCAAAAATTTTATATATAACAGTTCTTCCAAATATTTTCAGAGGTAACTAAGGAAATTCAACAATATTGAGAAATACTTTTCAATCCTATTGACTATTATTGTAATAGTTTGTTCTTAGTACTCAGATTGGTAGGTACTTCAATTCCAATCAAATTGTGTTATTTTTTCATTTAATCTTTCTTTCATGTTCAATTAAAAACTTCAATTATCTTTTAAACTTCCTTACCTATCAGCAGCTACTGGTGTGGCAGAGATATAGATCATTTTACCAGGGTGTAGTCCATTTGGTACCATTGTTGTCAGCGGCATTGCCTTTAACATGATATGAAGAGATGTAATTTATAACAAATATGATGTGACAAAATAAAAACATGATAAACGTCTTCCAGGATAAAAGAAGATTTGAAAAAAATATCCACGATAGGTTCTAGTTATATGTCTCTTGCCCAATCTAATTATTGCCACAAAAGGATTAAGTTCATGAAAGGTCGAAATTAGCCCCAAGATTTTAAATTCCTTTTTAACAAGGAAAATACTACACGTTTCACATAGAAAAAGTTGTGATATTACTATAAATACAAAATAACTTCTTTTTAGCACATCACATTATAAATGACAAAGTAATGACCTCTTAATTATTCATTATTTGTGTTGTTATGTCAGATTTGGTATAAAAATTCCATAATTCTTAACTGTTTTTAGCATAATTTATGTTGGCCACCACCCATGCTCCAGAATTTTTTGTGTCGAGAGATTCAGTAACATCATAAGGATCTTTTGGTTACAGAGCCTTTTGAATTGTAGGTAGCAGTCAAGGGTTTTCACAAGCTTTTAGATCCAAAAAATGCAAAAAATCATAGTATTTTTATAACATATCCACAATTTGCTGACTTTGAGCCCTTAAATGTACATGTGAGAAGACATTTGTTTAACCTAATAGTAAGGCTTTTGAAATCAGTAAAATACAGATAAAATCCTAAAAATTCAAATTTTTTTCTTCAGATGCTATATTTGATCTTGAAGCTCATTTTCAAGATTTCAAAATCTTTTCATGAAGGTACATCTACAAGTAGTTAATGACTGCAAATATTATGAACTAATAAACTTTTACTGATAACATTACCTAATCAGAACAAAAAATTTTATCACTCTTTCAGTTTGCTCCATTGGAGACTAGGCATGTATCATATAACAAAACTACCGGTAGCTTATTTTTTCGGATCAGGACCAAAATTTAATGAAAATTGATTTCCTTATTATTCTGTATGTTTTCTTGGTGTATCAGTTAAAATGTAATACTCACAGGATTAATTAATGGTACAGGTGGCTGCATAGGAGGGTAATTCATGAATGGTGCAGGAGCAGGAACAGATGGCTGCAATATATACATTTTTTTTCTGAAGTAACACAGCATTTCAATTAATCACACATTTTGACAGGCTTAATGCCTTGTCTGCTTACAAAATCTCTGAATAGAAGTTAGTATTCAAAGAAACAAACCATCAACAAAAATGGTTGTACTATCCACGATTTTTGGAGATTCCTTTCATCTTTTTTATTTATAATATATGTGTATAGATAAATAGATGACTATGAAATTCAGGTCAAGGTCAAATTACCCCTTAATTCACATATAAAAAAGTATTGAGCTTTAATGAACACTTTCTGAGATAAAGACCAAATTCTAAATCTTTAACCTGAACAATGTAGTGTGAAAATCATTGAGATGAAAGTCAGATGTGACACTTATCAGCCTGGATATATCAATTCACATACCAAATGCAGTTGACCTGACATATCAACATACCTAATAAAACATTTATGACTACTGTAGTATCATAATGAGGTCTTTACCAATGATACATTTAAGTCCTTGAAATAAGCATAGGTGAATTAGACGATATTTATTTTTAATTTTTAAGAACAGGACTTCTCTATTTTTGTAAATACGTTTGTGGTTGGCGTCTTTTCTATGGAATTTTCATGTAAAATTTATATCGGAATAAGGTCTGTTTGCATTTGCCTAGTGAATTGAATTTAAAAGTGTTAATCTTTGCTGCAAATCAATAGATTTTGCTGATGTTTTTTTCCTGAACCTTTCTAGTAACTGCTTATATATACAGAGAATTGGTGTGTTCCAATGACTTATTTAGTGAGTAGAAAAATAAACTGAGGTTTGTATGCAAGGAATTTACTCCCGTAGCAACATTTCAAACCAATTTTACACTAAATATTTACCACAATGTTGACTTATAATCAGTAGATTCATCACAGAGAATGTGCAAAACCTTTCAGAGTTGTATTTCTCAGTGTTTGCAGGGGAGATAATTTTTTACCCCTAGGTAATGAATCTAGTAAATAATTACACTGTAAATCAGGAAATATTCTAGATATTTATATTCCCTCTTTCATTAGAACTTATTAATAAAACTACTAAAAAAATTTCACAGCCTACAGATGTTCACTGACCAGCCCACTGATAGACAAAAAAGATAAAACCAGAACTGCAGTACAAAACGGGTGTGTGGTGCAAGATGGATAAAAGGAAGGACTTTTTTAACCCCCACTAATGACAAAATAATTATCAACATACATGAAATTGGGATTCAATTGAAAGTTCTGCTGGATACCATTATTATTATGTAACAGTAGTGAAAACTGACTGCAGAAGATCTAAAGTGAGAACTATATGGAGCATAAAGCTTTCACATGTTAACCATTTTGTTCCCAAATTGCTTTAATTTCATGAAATGCTATACATTTATGTAGTCTTACTATTAAACTGATCTTAAGTCACCATCTATAAACCAATTTTACCATATATAGATAATTAATTATGCATCTATCTTTAAGTTGTTATTGGCTTTGATCTAGCTTCAATAACTGTGAGTACTCTGAGATCTAGCTTCAATAACTGTGAGTACTCGAGATCTGCACTTTGTGTCATTTGTCTAAATGTTGGTTGATTTTTGCTTTGTGAGGACCTGAGGAGTCCAGCCATTTTCATCTGATTTTTGCTTTGTGATGACCTGAGGAGTCCAGCCATTTTCATCTGATTTTTGCTTTGTGAGGACTTTAGGAGTCCAGCCATTTTCATCTGATTTTTACAGTTTGTTCTTATGCTGTTTCACAACTGTCCCAGGTTAGGGAGATGGTTGAACCCTCATAAGTTTTAACATGTTTAATCCCGCCACATTTTATATGTGCCTGTCCTAAGTCAGGAGCCTGCAATTCAGTGGTTGTTGTTGGTTGCAGTCAGTCATATTTGTTTTTTCATTTATTGTTTTGTCATAAATCAGGCTGTTGTTTATTTTCCATTTGACTTGTTTCAAATTCTATGATGTCTGGGCCTATTATAGCTGAATATACAGTATGGGTTTGCTCATTTTTGAGGGTGACATATAGACTTATAGTTGCTTACATCCTAATCATTTGGAATATCAAACTTGACCATCATTTTATGATAGGTAGTAATGGAAATGTTCTAAAGTAATAAGGTCATAATCAAAACCAAATTTAATTCAAAATATCAACTTCAGATGATTAAAGGGGTATAACTCTGGAAAGATGTTTGCAGCAAACTTAATATTAAACATTCATGTGCATAATAATAATGGAAAATTATAAAGTCCTAATCCAACTATATATGTTTAAACCAAATATTTTTTTCTATTTTGAGAGAAACAAAAGGACATTACTCTGGAACAGTCATTGTGACAACAATGAAAATGAAAATTGACCTGTTTTTCATGGTAGGCAGTAATGTTATAAAGTCTTAATCCGAAGTGATCTAATTTGCAATTCGTAAACCATTTTTACCATTTTGAAATAATTCAATTTAAGGATTATAACATTAACCCTCAACAGAAATAGTTGCAACAGACAAAAGCATTTTATGAAGGGTCAAAAATTATATTCTAAATTCTAATCCAATGCAACCTTTTAAAATCTATCATCTGGAAATACTTTTTTACCATTTTGATATAATTCAAAGGCATAACTCTAATATGGTTTTCACTGCATCAGTACCTTCTTTTTATGGTAGGTAGTAACATTGCAAAATTGTAAGGTCCTACCCTAAATAGAGCTTTGAGTTATCAACTGAAAACCCAGTGTTTCAGATAGGACAGACAGACAGACAAACAAAGCAGAAATTGTTTTTCCCTTTGATTTTTCATTGGGAGGGGCATACAAATTAAACAGTTCAATTTTCAGTTGCATCTGTAAGTGTTTTGAAACAATTTTTATTACCGTAGTTCCCAACTTACCATATTTGGAGCAATAAACTGGATTGAGCTGACATTTATCGTGCCTTCAACTGTAAATGTACTGACTCCATTTATGGGGAGTCTATGTTGAAAATCACAAAAATGTTTCTTGTTTACTGAAATCTAAATAATAAAAAATACATTATACTACAAGATGTGTCTGTAAGATATGGATTTCATTCCCTTACAAGAAAAAGTTGTTGTCTTTATCTTTTCAAAGGTCAAGCTTAACCAAATAGCCAAAGTCAAGGCCAGTAAAATTTTTCTAAAAATTCAGAATTCAGGTACTTACCAGTAAAGTCATCTCAGGCCATGAAGCAAAAAATATTTAATAAAGACTGATTTTTTTTGAAGAATGAACTGTGAATTCATTTATTTGTGTTGGTACCAATTTTCATAGATTTACAAGTAAAATAAAAGAACAGAGTTCCAATGTACCCCGGGTTGCACATATTTTATCTATCCAAAGTACAAGGACAATAAATCAATATTTTATAAATATTTTAGAGAAATGAAGGCTTCAGAGCAAATACAATGCAATTTCCAATATAATTAATGTTTCTAAGGGGCATAACTCTTTTAAAAATAATTGATCACCACTGATTTTCCAAAGACATTGCCGATATAAACCTATGATATAAGTTTCATAAAATTCTGGCAAGAATTGTACACAAGAGAGCGCTAACAATGCAATTTTCCATATAATTAATGTTTCCAAGGGCATAACTCTTATAAATATAATAGATTTGCACTGATTTTCAAATTTGTCCGAGACAATACTAATATAAACCTATAATACAAGTTTCATAAAAATCTGGCAAGAATTGTACATGTGAGAGTGCTAACAAGACCGGACGGACAGATGCGTGGATGCCCGTTATTATGTCCCCGGCAACGCATTGCAAGGGGGACAATAAAAGGTATTTTCAGAGATTCTTGATTTCATAGTTATGATAACTTCTGCTTTAAGACCTTTTGGAATTTTGTATCTGCTCATAATTGGCATGATCGTTTCCAATAATATTAGGGAAAGTTTGTGGTATTGTATTGACTATAATGATTATTACAAACATCTGTCTGTAAAATATTTGTGTCTAGCAAATAACATTTGAACTGCTCTTTGAAAAATGTTTCAGACAAAACCCAAAACTGTGCACCAATGACCAAATAAAGTAAATCTTACTTTGTAACAATTAACATCTGCACTGACAATAATTTCAAAAGGAGTGTTTTTTGTGAATGGCATTCCATTTTGTCTCTCCTCACCAGCCCAGTTGTTATTTTTGTAAGAATTTCTCACGACACAATTCTGAGTAAACCTTGGGTTGAAATGCAGAGCAGTGTCAGAGCGAGGTACTCCAATAGCTGATCCATACGCTAAATTGAAGGAAAAGCTGAAAAAAAATTCAGACAGGAGTCTTCATATATACTTGTTACTTTAAATTTAAAAGAAATATACCAAACTAATGTATTAAATATAGCTTTTTCATGGATTAATTCAAATTATGTCCTGAATAAAACCATTTTAAAGTAATAAGAATATGACTGAATTGATATAAGAATTGCTGATTTACTAAACTTTTATGATCTTTTATAGCCTTTGAATTTCACATAAACACTTTGAGATGCATTTTTCTATTTATCATATTCTGACTATGTAACTTCAGTTGGCATTGTAGCATAAAATCATCTTTGTAACTGTTGATGTATAAATAAATGAAAATCAAATCAACGGATTTTTTACCACCCAACAAAAAAGTTAAAATAACTTCAAATCTAATCATTTTATACTCTTACCCCTCAGAATGGCCAGGAGTAACACCTTGAATTACAATCTGAAATCCTGGGGTCAACTTCCCTCCAGGAATACTACCTATATAAGGGATAGGCTGCAATAAAAGCATTAAAATTACCCAAATATTATACAAGTCTACACACATTCGGTACAGCATTGATACAGTTGATACAAGTACAGTATTTGGTTAAGATAAGTCATGGAAAAAAATGATGGTAAACATTAGAATCAGAAAATAGAGAAGCCCCCGACATGGTGTGTTTTATGGCAAAAATTGCCAGATTTGATATTATCATCAAACCTCAACTAATTTGGGATTTTTCAATACAGGCCTACATGTTAATATTAGTGGGAATGTTTTTCCTATTGGAACCAACTGTGCTCCTTTATTTATATGAAGAAGAATGAAAAGAAGTAAGCATTATCTTATAAATTCCCCACTTCGATATATGGATGATATGCCATGGTTTTTACTGAATAATTTTGGTAATATAAATCTTGTTTACATGTATTCCATTGAACTTGAAAGAGGATACCACTAAAACGGCATTGGAATATTCTAAACTTCTTCTATATTAGATTTCTAATTACCACAAATGAGTTGATCAGATTTTTACTGAAATATGCATATTTTTATGCAAAAGTGCAATTTATGATTTTTGGCCCATCATTCATCTATTTTAATAACTTTTGTACCAAATACCTATTTTAATAACTTTTGTAACAAATATAGAAAACTTTTGATTGATTGAAAAGAAGGTAGGATTTTGGACCTTAATATTTTTTAAGCTATCTGATTTTTAGAATCAAATATTGATATAACCGATATTGCAGTTCTATTTAAAATATATCCTTTTTTTAAAATAAACCTACCAATATATTACCAGGTTTAATCCACCATTTTCTACATAAGGAAATGCCTGTACCAAGTCAGAAATATGACAATTGGTTTTCATTCATTAGATGTGTTTGAGCTTTTGATTTTGCCATTTTATTATGGAACATCCGTTTTGAATTTCCCTTCTCCTTTTAAAAGTACATTTAAAAGGGTGGATAACTCAGATTATTCAGATTTTAAATTATAAAAAGAAGTTAAATTTCTCTCATTTAGTTTTTTAGTAAGTAGCAAGAGAATGAGTGTGGTGACCCCATTTTTTTTATTATTATCATTACCATTTTCTTAGAGAATTTCATAAAAATATTTAATTTTACGATTTCCATCACTTAGTTTTTTTTCATCCACACTATAGAATATTATAATATGAATCTGTTCTTTAACTTTGTATTAATCAAAATTAGATTAGGGTCGAAATAATAAACACCATGATTTAATGGAGATTTAAACACAGGTAATGCATTATTTGTAAAAATTTAACACTACTTCAATAACATTTGCGTTATCTGGAATATTTATTATGATTTATATAATAGTCATTTTAGCAAAACATAAACGAACTAGTCATTTTGTAAATATTTAAAAAATACTTGAGAAAAATAACATGAGACCAATATATAAATGTTTTAGATCACTTTAACATGAATAGGAGCCAACAGGAGTTTATATATTTTGATGGAAAATAAGAATAGAGGATCAAATATATTGTTAAGAGTATGGTACAATGAGTTATATCTGAATTTTTTAAATTATAGTTAATACTGTAAATATTTTACATTGTAATTGTATTCTGTTTAAACAGAATATTTTGTTTCATGTATATATATATATATATATATATATATATATATATATATATATATATGGACCTTTTGAGTCTGAAATAAAGATTATCTTATCTTATCTTACAAACTGCTGTTATTGTAATGTCATATGGATATGAGCAAGAACACATTAAATAACTGAAAATATTAAAGTTAAAATATTATAAAGAATATTTACTGATAAACTTAATACACAAAATCAAAAATATTATATTTAGAAAAAAAGGGGGCTCCATTCCCCCAAACGCCTGGGACCTTAATCACATGTTCTGTCAACAAGCTTTAGCAATAAAAATCAAAAACCAGAATTTCAATAAACTGACACACGTTTACCTAAAAAATCAAATACTTTATACTATTTAATACACCGTCTTCCTCTGGAAGATAAGACGAAAAGGGAAGTAATATTTTAAGATTGAGTATACCACATATTTCATCTACAAGAAGAAGCTAGCATTATATTTCCAGAAGGGCATCCTGTCATTTTATCGAAATGTCTTAGTTGCACGTATGACAGAAGACAAAATGAACCAAAACTGAAAGTGAAACCTGAAATAACTTAAGTGTGTGATATATGACTACCAATCATTTTCTTAACACTAACATATATATGTGTACACCTACAAGTCAGTGTGTCCTCAAACAAAAAACTTACCGGATTCATAACACTACCAATCAATGACATCTCTGTTTTTCGTTGTAAAATAGCTTTCTGTAATGTCGAGCAACGCAGACAACTGCTTCCTGGAAATAGCAATATGAAACAGATTGGTTATCTCTCTTTGTACATTTAATTTTCTTGCTTCCTCCTCTAGTGTGAATTGAAACGATGGGCGTTAAAGTGAACATTTATCCTAAAATACTGGCGGACTGCTAGACGATTTTCTCTTTAAATGCAAATATCATGTATCATTTGCACCATTCGATTATGTCCTGCTAAACATACCCTAGCAAATGATTTACTTAACGATGTAGAATGACCTAGAATCTGTTCATAACCGTTTTTTTGTCGTTAGATATATATACTCAACTTGGGTAAAATTCGTACTTATGTGTAAAACTTGGGCACATCCCGTTGTGTATTTTAAGAAAATATAGAATTGTTAAAAATTGGTTGCAATTAGGGAGCTGCCATTTGATTTTTATGGGGGTCTAGGATGAAAAATTTTGTCCTGCATTTTTTTTTAGTTGTAATCTCTGTCCTGCCTTTTTATTTTTCACTCCATTCGGTCCTGCCTTTTTTTTTTTAGTTTATCCAGGAATATAGATATACTGTTCCCAGGTTTATCCTGACTTTTTTTTACATAAATTGTCATCCTGCCTTTTTTTTTTTGCAAAGTGTCTCATCCTGCCTTTTTTTTTACTCAAAACTCCTGTCCTGCCTATTTTTTTCAAATTTCATCCTAGCCCCCCCCCCCCCCCCCCCCCCCCCCATAAAAATCAAATGATAGCTCCCTAAATTCATGATCAACATATGCCGGAGCATCTTCGCTAGCCAAGGGTTACGATGGCTAGCGAAGATGATGCCGGAGCGGCTACCTGGATTTGCGCGAATTTGAACTATGACAGGTATTACGTTTGCGCAAATTTACTTGTAATTTATATGCAAGTTTTTATCCATTGTTGATACACTCTGTGCTTAGATTTGGAACAGCCCTGGCGGTATTGTAGACTCACCGGTGACGTAATTTTCAACTATGTAGTTGGCAAAAAGTTTGCGGCTTACATTCTCAGAATCCTTTGACATTAAATCATCTACAAAACAGCCCTATACCCTCCACTTTATCCACTGGAAGGACAGGCAATCAGAAATCCAAGTCGTGTTAAAACCACGTTCTATTTCAGGTGATGAATTTTTAATTATTTTCTTATTAGAAAATTTAATTACTTCGCGCAACGTTGCAACTTTTCAACAGGCCGTAATATATATATGAATTAACCAAGATAACATAACTGAATCATTTGACTTATGATAAATCTCGTATCAACTATTACTTGCTACAACCTGGGTCAAAAAGCTTAACAAAGAAACTTTTTAATTATTTAAAGGCGTCATGGAAATTAAGATCACAAATTATTAGTTAATATGTTGTGTGTTGTAATAAATTATCTCTGCATAAATTGATTGTTTTTCTGTATTCTGTCATTTATTTATATACCTAGCAATGTTGTCGCTGATGCAATAAAGATTCATTCAACTTCCCAGTGAAAAAAAAAAAACATTGGATTGATAATATTGGTTCATGTCTTCAAAAGCTTAGGTTCCCCTTTTTGGCCCAGAATTCAAATTTAACTTTTAAGCATTTTTATCAATTACATCAGCAAGTTATAGAGTAAACATCAAGTTAAATTTTTGTTCACATTTCGATGATAGGTGAACGTACGTACACCTTATGTTGAACAACTTACTGGGAAATCTCACCGATCTTTTATAGCTTAAGAAAGACTGAGAGCTCATAACCTCGAAATCGAAAGAAGCCACAAGATGTAATAAAATTACTAGAAATGAAAGATTTATGCAAAATAAAATTGAAGACGAAGATAACTTCGTGTGGAATTGTCAAAATTATAAAAGGTAATGAGAAACCCTTGAAACAAAAGTATCATTTATCTATATTTTAAAAATATCCAGATTATATTAAAATTATTTAAAACAGTGGGTCTTTACAAATACTGTAGATGTGTTCTTATATTTCCGAATTGTCTAAATATTACACAAATATTAATTATAATACATGCACTTAACTTATATACAACCTATTGATATCTAGGTTCGCAGTCAAATTTTTTTTCCCTTCAGTATCCATTTTGCATAGATATTGAGCTTCACGTATTACCTATAAATTTATAAAATATTTACGCATTTATAAGATCGATTCTTCCTTACCTTAGTTATCGAAAAACGATGTCGGCGACCTATATGATGAATATTTATGCTAGAAAGTAAATAATGATTTTCGAAAAGATTTACAATACTTAGAGTAAAAGAAAATTGTGTCACACTTGGAGATTTAATCTAAAACCCATCAATGTATATGTGACATCTTTATTTTCCACACCAGTAACTGGTCCTATCTGTTCCAAGAAAGATTATAACCCAATTTTGTTCACGTTATTCTAATCAGACGTCCATTTACGAAGATGAATGTAAGCATTATTTTGGTATCACCTATCAAGTCCAGTACATATGATGTATATTAATTATACTTGTAATTAGCGATATGGTTTCATGTTACTGATTCATTATGCCTCATTGAGAGACACCATAAGTCTTCAACAGTAGACAGATGAACAACCTGAATGCCATGCACTGGCACTTGTCTCAGAATTTGTTTTCCTATATACCTTAAAGTGTAATATTAAGGTATATAAAAAAAAATCCGAGACAATATCTATGCGAACCTAGATATCAATAGGTTGTGATATTTTCAACTTATCACAACTGGTTAAAGGTCCAACATGTTTTAAAAAGGGTTGTAACCCATCCCTTGTGGATGTTATTATTACAAGTAAAAAAGAATTTGTGTTTTAAAACAACAAATAGTCCAAATGGTGTTAGTGACTGTCACAATATTATTTCTACAGTTGTGAAAGGGAATTTACCTGCACAAAAATGCAGGGACGTAACATATAGAAGTTACAAAACTTTTGATATTGACAAATTTACAAATGATTTACAGAAAATAAAGATTTCAGAAAACTGTACTGAGAAAGATTTAAATAGTATTTATGATGATTATGAAAAAGATTTTAAAAATATATTAAATAAACATGCACCTGTCAAATCTAGGTGTCAAAGAAGAAAACCACTGCCATGTATGAATAAAGAACTGAGAGGGGCCATATATAGAAAACAAATGCTTTATTCACAATATACTAAAAACCGGAGTGACAAAAATTGGGAGAAATTTAGAAAACAAAGAAATTTGGTAACTAAGATAAAGAGAAAATCAATAAAAGTATACTTTTTAGAACGTTGCTCTGGTGGGTCAAAATCATGCGAGTTTTGGAAAACAGTCAAACCATTTTTCTCAAAAAAGGGGAACTGTGGAGAACAAAAAATCTTATTGTGTGAAAATGACAAAATTGTAAATAGTCCAAATGAAGTTTCAAATGTTTTTAATAATTTTTTCTCCACAGTAGCAGACAAAATTGGAGCAGATGTGGTATATGACCCCTCAAATCACCCAAGTATAAAAGAAATTTTGAGTAACAGAAAGCATGTTTCTGACTTTGAATTTAAGAAAGTATCTAACGAAAATGTCAATAAAATCTTGAATAAAATAAACATAAAGAAGGCTACAGGAGCTGATGGTATTCCAGCAAAAATAGTAAAAAATTGTAAATCTTATATTGCACCACAGCTGACAACTCTTGTAAATTTATCAATTGAAAATAACTGTTTCCCTGACAAACTTAAAGAAGCCCAAGTGACCCCCCTTCATAAAAAGAGTGACCCATTATTAAAAACAAACTATAGACCAGTTAGTGTCTTACCCATATTTTCTAAAATCTTTGAAAAAATATATGAAATTCAACTAACTGAATACTTTGATAAAATATTTAATCCTTTTTTGTGTGCTTTTAGACGTGGACATGGATGTCAGACCACACTTCTCAGAGTGTTAGAAGATTGGCGTGAAGCTCTCGATAAAAACCAGTACATTGCAGCGGTATTAATGGATCTTTCTAAGGCTTTTGACTGCCTGCCTCACAATATCTTGCTAGATAAATTATCAGCATATGGTGTATCCCCCCATGCAGTTGCTCTTTTAAAGTCCTATTTATCTAATCGTAAACAACAAATTAAAGTCAACAATGTTCTGAGTGATTTGGCTGACATCCATAAAGGCGTACCACAGGGTTCTATACTAGGGCCATTGTTGTTTAACATATTTATAAATGATATTTTTCTTTTTGTTAAAAATGGTAGTTTATATAACTATGCAGATGACAATACTTTGTCTTTCTGTACTCCAGATTTTGATTTATTAATTTCAACTTTGGAATCTGAGTCAAAAATACTTATTGAGTGGTTCCGGGTGAATAAAATGCAAGCAAATCCCGATAAGTTTCAAGTTTTGGCTGTTGGCAAAAAGACCTTTGAACAAAACCCATCTATACGTATTCAAAACTCGAACCTTACATGTGAAAAAACAGTTAAATTATTAGGCATTGAAATTAACTATCAGTTAAATTTTGATGTTCATATCAGCTCAATCTGTAGGAGGGCATCACAGCAATTAAATGTTTTAAAACGTTTGGGCTCAGTTTTGGATAGACTTAGTAAACTTACTATTTTTCATACCTTTATTCTTAGTAATTTTAATTTTTGTCCTTTGGCATGGCATTTTTGCACTGAGAAAAATTCCAAAAAATTAGAAAAGGTGCAGGAAAGAGCACTCCGTTTTGTATATGAGGATTTTACCAGCCCCTACGAGGACCTCTTACTTAAAGCTAAGGTGCCCTCCTTGCAGATTAGACGGATTAGAACAATGGCTCTAGAAACTTTTAAGATTATAAATAATATAGCTCCTGTGTGCTTACAAAATTTGGTGAGTGTCAAAAAATCTAAGTATTCTTTCCGGTATGTAAATATTCTAGATGTTCCACAGGTAAAGTCAACCCGTTACGGTAAAAAATCTTTCAAATTTGCTGCTGCTACTTTATGGAACAGCCTTCCAAACCATTTCAGGACTGAAAATAGTTTTTCACATTTTAAGAGTCTTGTTCAGTCCTGGAATGGTTTGGAATGTCGATGTTCTGCTTGCAGATAATTCTTGAGATGTTTATTATTTATGTTGCTTTTGTTTGCTCTGGTCTAGCATGTTTTATTTCATTTTAAATTTGTTGCTAAAATTTTATTGCATGCTATGTAAGTGAGATTTAACTTCGTATAACAGGTTGTTTTATATGTCAAATTAGACTGTTTTT